TCACGGTTTGTGGGACTGAGCCCCACATCCAGCTCCACGCCTAGAGTATGGAGCCTGCTTGGGATTCTCTCTCTCTCTGTCTCTCTCTCTGCCCTTTCCCCTTCCCTCTCACGCAATAAATAAATAAACATTTTTTTTAAACTGATGACAGAAGTTTCCGAAAAGGGACAAAGAACTATCTTTATAAGAGCGATCATGTGGCATGTCAAATTCACAGCCAGGAAAAAAAAATTCATAGCCAGGGAAGACTGTTTCCAAATATGTTAGGATTCCGAAAAAACGTTAATGAAACATAAGTGCCGATATAAATATTTTGAAATCATTAGAAAAGCCGACACTGTTCTGAAGAACATCCCTATTTCGACTAAGGAATCAACGTGAACTTTGGCGTTCACCTCTTCCCTGGTAAATTCTGAAGGATCTAAATGACTCTGTCAGACTCAGTGCCCTGTGAAAGGGCATCGAGATTCAGATGGCAGCCTATCGACGACATTGAGAAAGGCATTTATTTCCCCTGTGATTTTTAATGTATTTCAGTAGCTATCTAGTTTGGGTCAGATTACAGAGAAAAATGATCGCCCTGAATGAGGTCTACTCTGTACAGTTATTAAATTTCATATTACATGCTGAAAGATCAATAAACATTAGGCTCGATTTGATCAAATTATGGACTCCCTGGAACCACACAATTCATGCGTGTGGGATTGTTTGTTTTAGCTGATCTTAAACGTGAAAAGGGAGAGCACCTGTTGCCACCAAGCCTGCATCCGAGGGTCTCAGACAACCACCGGGGCTGGGCTCGGCCAACAATACGTGCTCTGAGCAACGTCCTGTCCCGGCCAAGAGGTAGGCCGCCTCTCCTGGGACCATCAAGGGGGTCAACAGCCCTCAAGTCTAAGACCAAGTGTTTTCATCCTTGAACTCAATGCCATTGCCTCCCTTTTCTCTGGCTGCTCAGCCTTTACGTGTGGCCAGCAGGTGGGGGAAAGAAGGATGCAGAAACGCCATGCCCTGGGGGCGGATGGTTTCTTCAGATTTCACAGGACGTGGGAAAACTTCACATAAAGGGGCACCGAATGAAAGGAAGGGTTTCTTCCCCGCCTCCGTCCTTGTCCTACTCCTCGGAGACAGCCCCTCCCAACAGCTTCTCGTGTTTCCTTCCTGGTTAACAGGGTCTTTACGGCCAATATAGATCAGCCACACATTAATACGATGCACAATAAAATCCCACGGGGATGCACAGGAAGTCTCAAAGGACAGGGGAGAGAGTTCACCTCTTAAAGAATCCCGGCCCACATGGGTAAATGAGGGTCTTTACGGGAGCATTTCCGGAACATGCGGTGCATGCTTAATGGTCAGAGAAGTGGCATAGAAGCCGTCCTGAGCCGTTTTCTCAGTTACCAGCTCAGAGTCACCACGTGGTCCTAAGAAAGTTATCTCCTATTTCTGTGCCTCAGTCTAGCCACCTGCAAAGTGGGCACTGACACCCCCTGCCTCCAAAGGGCACCACGTGGTGTGCTTAAGGTTGGCAGAATGCTCCGAGGCGTTCCGATGGAAATGTGAGTGTCAGTTTTATGAGCTCACCAACGAGGGCATGTGTAATTGCAGTCTGACAAACGTCCTATTTAAAGATGTACTCTTTATATGTCAACCCTGTGATTATTTAGCATTTATAGATCATGCCATGATTGCTGAGTACTTTATAAACATTTGGCTACATTGCTCCAAAACAGCCATATCCTCAAGGAAGGTGGGGAGACAGAATGCCTGCAAAAAGTAGAAAGCGTGTCGCTTCAAGAGCATGGCAGTCAACTGGATGCAAGTGGCAGAGCGTCCAGATGGTGGGGGCTGTCTCGCCATGGCCTCCCCTGTTCCTCCTCGCTTCGACCCTCAAGCTCCCTTGTCCCATCAGACAACCCTGCAATTACCCAGCAGGCTCGTTCCCCATGCACATGCAGTAGGGGAGGCCAGAAACTAAGCCTGGGAAACCTGGGATGCCCTATCACATGGCACAGGCATTGGAAGCAGAAACATGCCGTCCACAAACCCTGTTGGCATCTTTTCCCGCAGGCGTCACAGGTGTGGTGTCTGGAACAGACTCTGCCTCGCCCCGACACTTCCGACCACATTACCCCTTGGTCATCTCTTTCCCCTTTGTCCCTCATCTTTCATAGGGACAGTGATAGCCCAGACCTCACAGGGTTGCTGTAAGGATTTAGTATCTATAAGGGCTTTACACGAAGAACAGTGCCTGGTAACCTTAGTGAGTGTTAGCATCCGAGGGGCTCCATCCCAAGGATTTGGGTCCTCATTTGTCGTCCTTATGTGGGGCATATAATGAGGAAGTTACAAGTTTAGGATTCAGAACCTACAAACTTGGGACTCTACTCCCGGCTCCACATTGTATTAGTTACGTGACATTAGGCAGGTTGGTTACCCTCTCGCTGAAACTCAGATCCTGGATCTTCATCATGGGAGTGACAATATCCGCCTCAGCATTTCTGCAAGAACTAAACGTGACTAGTACGTAATAACCACCACCGTGCTTGGAACATAGTGGTTCCTAAATGCACGTGAACCTCTCCTCCGTCTGTTGACTCAGGGATGGTGTCTGGAACGGTGTTTGTGTAGACCCTGGGGAACCAACAGGAACGAACGCTTGTTGGCCCTTTGGCATCTCAAAGGCCTTCCAAATGCATCTCACACACTCTAGACGCCTCCTCCTAAATCTAGCGAGGTCCCAGGGGCCAGGAGCCACAACCCGCTCACCCAAGAGCTCCTCAGAAACTCACTGGAGATGCCACATCTCACACCTGCCCCAGATCTACTGAGTCAGACTCTGCATGTCAACAACATTCCCAAGTGATTCACACACACACACACACACACACACACACACACACACACACACTGAGAACAGCTGCTCCAGAATTCAGCCTCCAAGCCAAGACCACCCACCGCTTTCGGGTTATGTAACCGCGGGCACTGACATCATCTCTCTAAGCCTCAGTTTCCCTAAATGGACAACAGGGCCAAATGCAATACATAGTTCACGAGGTAGTGTGAGGATAAAATGAGATGGCCTGGGTAAAGCCCTGAGTGGAGTCTGGCACATAATTAGGAAGACCGGCAATTTAGATAGTATATGTAGATGGCTTAGGTAGCAATTTAGATACTATATTATCTCGGGGATCTTTATAAGCAGCCTGTGCCTTTGGGCGGAACAGGTATCATCACCTTCATTTTCACCAAGGGCATAGTGACGTTCCGGGAGTTGACGTGACGTGCCCAAGGCAGAGGGTCGTGGATGGAGGCAGAATTTGAAACCTCGAGAGTCGGTGTGTCTGGAAGTTCCAGCAGGAGGGTGGGGCTAACCTCATCTCCTTGCCTAAAGGAATCTGTCTGGGGACATCCCGAGTGGAGCCCACAGTGGCAGAGAAGGGACACCTGTCCTATCCAGGCACCCAGCGCAGTCCTGTTGACCAGGTGATGACATCTGCCCTAGCCAGGTCACCTCCGCTGGACTGGAACCTAGGTGTCCTGATTGTAAAGACATTTTCTCTCCTGTCCCAGTGCATCTGCTTCAGACTTGGTTAATCCTGGTGGAAAGCCAGAGTAATTATTTCCTTAAAAGCCTTTATTAGGTGAGCTCTCTCTCTTGTGGTTTAGATACCGGGAGGGAGCCTCCCTGGTGACTGCCCTCGGTCAGGCGGCACGTAGGTTTTTAGTGGGTTTCTATCAGACTCGAACTGGAGGTTGTTGGAAACAAGAAGGCCTCTTGACCCTCCATGAGGTATTCGGACCCCAGGAGTAACGTGGCACATCTCAGCCCTGCAGGGGGCCACTCTGCCTTTGGTGTGGCCTTGAGACCAGTGAGGCGTTCCCGTGGACACCTGGGACCCCAGGGGCTCAGAATTAGGCTGAAGCTTTTCCCTGCTCTGAACTATTTTCCGAATCGACCCTGGAATTTGACCTTCATTTGGCCAGGCCTCCCCAACAGAGAAGGGTTTATAATTATGTTTTCTTCAGACTGGTTGGTGTTGTGCAATAAAAGAAAAGGAAAACTAAATCTATAGAGAAAATGGACTAGAAGTAGCTCTGGTGGCGGCCCGGCGGCCTCAGGGAATACCCTGGTGGTGACGTTGATGGCAGTGTCAGACTGGCTCCTCCTCTCCGTCCGGCTAGCACACTGCCTGGGACCCGTCGCTAGGAGTTGCTTGTCAGAGGTCATGTCATTCTGGGACTTGGAAAGCTCTAGAAAACAAATACAAGGGATGACAGGTGGGAACACATGGCTTTGACAGACTCGTGGGGCCCTCCTCTGAGATGCCCTGCAACCACACCCCTGAGGAGCCTCAAGGTCTCTGAGGCTAGGCTCACGGCGTGGGGACGACGGCTCTGAGCTCTGGGCTCAGGGGGAGCCACCCCCAGAAGCCACATGCTGGACGCAGGGCACACGGCGCCCTGCACAGGACAGAGGAGCCAGATTCCCAGAAGGTGACAGTGTGGCCATGTGCCTCTGTAGGCAGACAGCCACCGTCAGGGCGAGAGTGAAAGGAAGGACTTCCAGCCAGCTTACTCTGTATCCCGGGCCACCCGTCATAAGCACGCAGTTGTCCAAACACAAAAAAGGCAGCCTAACAAACCAGCCAGCTTTTTTAGGGCTCCTCACAAAGATTTATAAGTAAATACCATCTCTTGGGACACTTTGAAGAGAGGCGGAAGATTCAGGGTACGCTTATAACTATTTTAATAGACAAAGCGTGAAAATACACCTCCCCCCGCCCCCCAGCATACCAGTGGTCCAGAAGAGATGAATAAAGCGGGAGGAAGGAATGCACACAAAGAAGTGAGACAGCCACCTCAAAGGTGATTTTGTCTTTCAAAAATGTCTTCCCTTTTCCATGGGGTCCTTGTTTCTCTCAAAGATGACCTTGAAGCCATCTTTAGAGTGGCATTCTCTGATGGCTGTCATGTGGCTCACATATGCCATCTCAAATTTTCTAGTTGCCACATTTAACACAGAGGTAAGGGGTGCCTGGGTGGCTCAGTCTGTTAAGTGGCTGACTCTTGATTTTGGCTGAGGCCATGATCTCATGGTTATAGTGAGATCCAGTCCC